GGGCGGTCCCATCTCTATTCCATCCCCTGTCAGGGCGGTCCCCTCCCTCTCCCATCCCCTCAGGGCGGTGCGGTTCCCGCCCCGCCGCCGCCGCTTTACGGCCGCTCAGTGTCGCGCGGCGCCGCCCGCACGGAGGTCACCGAGCGGCTCCGGCCCGACCCAACCCGGCCCCGGCCCAGCGCAGCCCGGCTCAGCCCCGGGCCCAGCCGCAGCATGTGGCGGGTGTTGGCGCGACGCGTGTGCCGGGGCGCGGCCGGAGCGCTGGCGCGGCCCCGCCGGGCTCTCGGTGGCGGTGGCGGGGCCGGCGCTGTCCCGGCCCGGCGCGGCCCGGCCTGGGGCGGCCCCGCGCTCCGCCCGCTCCTGCCGCCCGCGGGCACCCGGCTCGTCCCGGCCCGCCGCTGCAGCCTCCCGGCGCACCAGAAGGTGAGACGCAGCCCCCGGGTCCTGCCCCCCGGGTGTCCCCTCATCCCCCCCGCGGTCCCCGAAGGACGGGGTCGTGTCCCCTCGCCGCTGCTCCTTCGCTTCCTCCCGTCGGGTTTTCCGTCCCCTCCCTGCGCAGCCCCCCGGGGATGGAGTCGTGGGGTCGTCAAGGCTGGAAGAGGATCGTCAAGTCCAGCCATCAGCCCAATTTGCCCCCGGGGGTAGAATCGTGGGATCATCAAGGCTGGAAGAGAGCTTTAGGATCGTCAAGCCCAGCCATCAGCCCAGTTTGCCCCTGGGAAACAGGGATCATCAAGGCTGGAAGAGAGCTTTAGGATCGTCAAGCCCAGCCATCGGCCCAGTTTGCCCCCTGGGAACAGAGTCATGGGATCATCAGGGCTGGAAGAGAGATTTAGGATCGTCAGGCCCAGCCATCAGCCCAGCACTCTGTAACCCCCGAGCCACGTCGCCCAGTGGCAGATCCGCTCGTCCCTTGAACACCCCCAGGGGTGGTGACTCCACCACCTCCCTGGGCAGCCTTGTTCCAGTGCCCGACCGCCCCCAAACAGTGAAGAATCTGCGGTTCTGCCCCCACTGCCGTGGGTCTCACCACCCTGCCTCCAGTCCCTGCGCCACCATCAGCTCCATCACCTCTGTCCTTTATCCCTGCCCCTCTCCTGGCAGACCCTGACCAAGACCTGGCCCCTTATAACCCTGGATAGAATCATAGAAGCTTAAGGGGTTGGAAGGGATTTTAAAGATCACGTCATTCCACCTCCCCTGCCCTGGGCAGGGACACCTTCCACTATCCCAGGTTGCTCCAGCCTGGCCTTGGACACTTCCAGGGATGGGGCAGCCACAGCCTGTTGCAGTGTCTCACCTCAGCACCCGGATGGGTTTGCCCTGAGGTCTTTCCTGCTTTACCCACTGGGGATTTGCAGCAGCAGGTTTGTGCCCCCTGTGCCAGGCTGTGCTGAGGATCCCTCCCTGGCCTGTGCGTGGTCCCTGCCGTGGTGACACTGCCCTGTCCCCCACAGGTGGCCCTGCCAGCGCTGTCCCCCACCATGCAGATGGGCACCATCGCGCGCTGGGAGAAGAAGGAGGGCGACAAGATCAGCGAAGGGGATCTCATAGCAGAGGTATCCTGGGCTGCTTCCTCCTGAGCTGCACATGTGTCCTGGGTGCTGTCCCAGAACTGTGTGTCTTGTGTGACCCTGTGACAGACTGGGAGGCTCCGAGCTCGCCAGTTCCGTTGCCATCACCGTGTTCCTGTTCTCTCTCCAAGGTGGAGACAGACAAAGCAACAGTTGGCTTTGAGAGCCTGGAGGAGTGCTACTTGGCCAAGATCCTGGTGCCAGAAGGAACAAGGGATGTGCCTATTGGGGCCATAATATGTATCACAGTAGAAAAGTAGGTATTTTGGGAACCCTTGAGTTGAATTCTCTCTCTTGGGACTTCTGGGGTGCCTTGGTGGTCCCTAAGCCTTTCACACATCTGACTGGGTCTGGGGTTCTGTGTTTTCTTCTAGGCCTGAATATGTTGATGCCTTTAAAAATTACACCCTGGATGCTGCAGCAGCAGCTGCTCCCCCTGCAGCTTCAGTGCCTCCCCCTCCAGCTGCAGCTCCCCCACCACCACCTCAGCCTTCTCCTCAGGCTCCTGGCAGCTCTTACCCTCCTCACATGCAGGTAAGAGAGCATTCCTCCTGGTTTAAGGCTTGTTGCACTCTTTTTCTGCCACTGGCACTGCTGCCTGTGGGGCATTTTGTCATACAAACTACCTGGAGTGAGAATTTATTAACTGTAACTGCAGGAGCGTGTGCCACTTCAATTGTTATATGCTTAAAGCAGGTGTTGTGGGAGATCCCAGGAAGCTTTCTTCAGGGATTTATTGTAGCATCCCAGCTGCTAGTGGAGGAAAGACTTGTCTCTCCAGGGTTGTTGTCTTGAAAAACCTGCTATGTTTGCATTATTTGGGCAGTTCTGGTGTAAAAAGCCCTCGTGTTTAGTGCGAATAAGTTGTGCAGGCCCTGCTCACATCTCAGAGCAGAACTCAAGTCTGTGACACTCTGATGAACACACCAGCTGGGTTTGTGGGTGACTAATAATGACCTGTGCTTGTGGATAATCCTTTTACCTCGCTTAGATATTGAACTGTACATCCACTGTTGTCTTTGAGCACTTTGTGGCAGGACATTCTGTGACATTCTTTTGAAAAAGAAAATTTGAAATACCAAACCTCATCCCACAGATAAAACACGTGGGAACTGATTTGTCTGAGATGTCACTCCAAGTCAGTAATTAAAGAATTAAGGAATGGCTGTGTTTTGGCTACTAAACTTCCCTCTACTTGCCTCATCTGCCCCGTTTTGCTCTCCATGTGTTTGTCACAGCCAAAGTGACTTGCTTCAGCCTTCCTTTTAGCCCTGCAGGGAGAAGCTGCCAGATTCTCCCAGTGGGATGGTGGTAATAATTATTTTCATGTGGAGATTTCTTGCTCTTTGCTCTTGCTTTCTTGCTCAGGCCTTGCTAAGAGAAGCCAAAGCAGCACTGTGGGACAGCACTGTGCTTTGCTGTCACGGAGCCAGATCTAGGAGTGCAATAAAGACTGGCTGCTTCTTTAGGTTGGCATCATTCATCAGGGGTTACAACTGTGTTCCTGATCCTTTCGGAGTAGCAGGACCTGATTCTCTTGTGTTCTCTGGCTTCCCAGATCACTCTCCCTGCTCTGTCACCCACCATGACAATGGGCACAGTGCAGAGGTGGGAGAAGAAGGTTGGGGAGAAGCTGAATGAGGGAGACTTACTGGCCGAAATTGAGACAGATAAAGCCACAATAGGTGAGTCCAAAGCCAAGAAGGGATCCCTTAAAAGGATTCACAGCAGCCTCTGCCAGCTGTTCTCTGGCTGCTCAGGGTGTGATGCTGTGGGAGAGCTAAAACAGATCTTGTTAACTTCTAATTGCATTGGAGAGCTAAACATTGGAGCTGCTAAAAACATTTCTATTTCCTCATCAATCCTTCTGGGCAACGTGGAGAGGTTTCCCTACCAGTTGCACTGAAAAGGATTTTCCTGCCACTAAATACAGGACAGGGCTTTAGCTACCAGAGCCTCCAGGAGCAGCACTTGGAGGAACTCCTCAGCTGCATCAGACACCAAAGCAGGGTTGTTTCTGTCCCTCACAGGCTTTGAAGTGCAGGAGGAAGGCTACTTGGCAAAGATCCTGGTGCCTGAAGGAACAAGAGATGTGCCACTGGGAGCTGCTCTCTGCATCATTGTGGAGAAAGAGGCTGATATTCCAGCCTTTGCTGACTACCAGGCTGCTGCAGTGACTGACATGAAGGCAGCAGCTCCTCCTCCTCCTCCTCCTCCACCAGTAAGGACCATTCTGGGCACGTCAGAGAAGTCATGGGGACCACTGAGAAGCCTGATCTGAACTGTTGTGCTGGTTTGACAGTGTGAAGCCCTGGGTTCAACAGAAATGCTTCTGATCTGTGAATGCAAGGCTGGTCCATGTGTTGGGGAGAAGTGATCACTAGTTTGCTTTCCAAAAACTAGAGCAGATTCATTGTGATCTCTTCTCCAGCCTGTTGCTCATCCCAGTTTTAATGCTTCTAATCCTTGAGAATGGGGAGCATAAGTTCTTTACTTCACCTGTTTTTTTGGTGTGTAGTCCAGCAGCTCAGTTGGCCTCCTTCCCATGGAATTTCTGATTTCATTTCTGCCACTGGGAAACTTCTCTGAATCTGAAAATTCCTTCAGATTAGTGACTATCTTTGCTGTTCTCCTGACTGCTCATTAGCTGGGCCAGTTCTCCTACTGTACCTTCCACTGATGGCTTTGATCTTTCTGTTTAAGGTGATGCCAACTCCTGCTGCTGCTCCTCCTCCTCCCCAGCCTGCTGCTGCTCCCACTCCTGCAGCTCCCACAGCTCCCCGGACAGGAAGGATCCTGGTTAGTCCCCTGGCCAAGAAACTGGCAGCAGAAAAAGGGATTGACCTTGCCCAAGTGAAAGGTGGGTTTCCTTTCCACTTCCTTGCCCTCACTGTCAAGCATCTGTCCCTGTAGATCTGTGATTTCCCTGTTCCAGGAGTTGTGTTAAATGATTTCTCTCTGTTGAATTAAAGTGGTACCTTTAGAAGGTTGCAAATAATTGAAATCCTCTTGCATTTTCTTTTGACTCTCCCAGGTACTGGACCAGATGGCAGAATCACCAAGAAAGATGTGGAGTCATTTGTGCCAACAAAGGCTGCTCCAGTGAGTGGGCTGGCAATGTGCAGGGATGGCTGTTAGAGGAACGGAAATGCAGTTCCTGCATGGGACTGGCACTGCTGGGTTGTGTGGGCTGTAAGGTTGCAAAGCTTCACCTGCCAGATACACGGATGAAGCTTTGTTCCTTTATTTGTCCCTTTGATGTTCCACTGAGACAAAATTAGTGTGCTCTCACCCCTTTGTTTGGGTGTTAAATGGTTATGGATTGAGGTCAGCTCAGTCCCAACTGACCCAACAGTGCTGAAAAGAGGGGGTCAGAAGGAAAGCCAGACTTTTGAACCACCAGCCTGCTGCTGTTGTTGCCCCAAATGTGTCCTGATGCCATGGCTTGTCTTTTCTGTGAGCTGCTGGAGGTGTTGCTGTGTGTGCTGCTGGCAGGGCAGTGAAAATGAAATACTACATTTAATAATCAAGTGTAGGGCTTGGAAGGAACCCTGTGGGTACTGGAGAGCTGAGGCTGAGTAGAAATAGCTGCTGCTCTTACCAAGAGGCAGCTGAGCCCCAACACTTGTCCCCCGCACTGTTCCAGTTGATCTTTGGGTGGTTCTGAGGGTGATGCTGCTGTTCTCTGCAGGCTCCAGCTCCAGGGGCAGTTCCTGCAGCTGCTGCAGTGGCAGCAGCACCCGAGGGGACCTTCACAGACATCCCCATCAGCAACATTCGGAGGGTAAGGACATGTTGTTCCTCTCCCAGACCGTTATTTTTTTGCAGTCGTGAATTTTCCAGCCTGGTTGATGTTCCTCCCTCAGGTCATTGCTCAGAGGCTGATGCAATCCAAACAAACAATACCTCATTACTACCTTTCCATCGATGTCAACATGGGAAAAGTCCTGGTGCTAAGGAAAGAACTCAATCAGGTAAAGGATTTGCCCACCCTGGGTTTGGTGGTTCAGTTGTGGGTCAGTTCTGGGCTGAGATCTTTCACCCAGGTACTGTCTGCTGATTTCTGACTTCCCTAAGAGAGCTGCTCTGTGCTCTGCTTGGTGGGGATCCATTATTCCACGTGGAAAGCAGGGCAAAAAAGGTTTTTAACTGTAAGAAGGGTAGAAAATTTGAGCAAAATAATAATTCTACACTAAGTTTGGGGAGAGACAGACATTAAAAACTACTGTACCTTCTTAAATTATGAAGGAGATGCATTCACCTCCTAAATTATCTTTGAATATTAATGTTTGCAAGTAGTGTGATTGTTTTCTAACATTTTCTCTGTGACTGCCCACGTTGGTTGGGGGTGATGTGTAGGAGACAAACTGACACCTGGAATCTCTTTATTTGCAGGAGGAAAACGTTAAGCTTTCTGTCAATGATTTCCTAATTAAAGCTTCTGCTTTGGCATGCTTGAAGGTGCCTGAGGCAAATTCTTCATGGATGGACACAGTTATTAGGCAGTAAGTTCATGGTGCTGTCAAAGCCAGAAACTTTCTTTGTTCAGTGGAGAGTTCGTGGCAAAACAGAACTGCTGAGATTTGAGGGAGAGCAAAAGTAACACAAAGGTCGAGGGGCTTTCATTAAAGTGCTAAGAACCTTAAGGATGGCATGCCAGGTGAAATAATTGTGGCCAAGTTCATATGAGTTCAGGGTTGTGTGAACAGTGCTGAGTTTTTCTTGCTGGAATGAATTGGCCCATCTGTGTGTGCTGCAGGAACCATGTGGTGGACGTGAGCGTGGCCGTCAGTACCCCTGCAGGGCTCATCACCCCCATCGTGTTCAACGCCCACATCAAGGGCCTGGCTGCCATCAGCAAGGACGTGGTTTCCTTGGCAGCCAAAGCCAGGGAAGGGAAACTTCAGCCTCACGAATTCCAGGTGAGGAACCGGGGTCGGTGTCAAACGCGGCGGCCCTTGGGTTGTTTGAAATGAGCAAAGGCTGTTCCGTGATCAATAATCACAGAGTCACAGAATATCCTGAGCTGGAAGGGACCCACAGGGATCATCAGTGCAACCCCTGGCCCTGCACAGACATCCCAACAACCCCACCCTGTCCCTGAGAGCGTTGTCCAAACACTTCTTGAGCTCTGGCAGCCTCAGGGCCATGACCACTGCCCTGGGGAGCCTGGTCAGTGTCCAACCACCCTCTGGTCTCCCCTCAGTCTCATGTTTCCATGAAAACAGCATTTGTAGTTTGACCATGGATTTGTTTTTTTTTCTTGTAGGGTGGTACTTTCACAATTTCCAATTTAGGAATGTATGGGATTAAGAACTTCTCTGCCATAATCAATCCACCTCAAGCCTGCATCCTGGCAGTGGGCTCCTCAGAGCAAAGGCTGGTGCCAGCTGATAATGAGAAAGGGTAAGTTCTCATCTCAGTCTGAATCCAGACTCTGACATAATGGCTGGTTTTCTAACATTTCCATTAGATAATCATTTAAAAAAACCTAAAATGTATTGTTGACATGGTGCTTTCAGTACCTTCTGAAGTACAGTGAGATCTTGTCTGAAAGGGTCACACAGGTGTTAAAGAGAATTGCAGTGACTGAGGAGGGATTTGGCACACATTTATTCTTGAAACCTCTTTGCAAGTTGAGGAAAGCCTGTTTCTTTCTTTGTGGGGCAGGATTAAGCTGGGGAAATGTCTGGGGTCCACAACAGTTCAGGCACCTGTTCCTCTTCAACAACTTGCTTAAATTTGCATTTAGGAAAACCTAAGGGATGGGTTATAATCCGAGTGACCTGTGTATAATATCCCCTTTCTTGGAACTTGCACTAGCACAGACCCAGGGGAATGCTTAGGTTTATTGAAAATTTTAACAGCCCTGGGTGTCTCTCCCTGACCATGAGGACTCTGGGTAAGGTGGTGCTTTCCCTTTGACTGTGTGAGGCTGTTCTTGTGATCCAGAGAAAGATGAGCTGCCTGTCCTAAGGGGAACACAAAGGGGGATCTCAGTGTCTTAGTTAAGTCAATTCCTTAGTTTTCCTTAAAAAAGGAATGAACATGATCTGCTCTCCGGGAGCCCACAGGGAGAAACATCTGTCACCAAGCATCACCTTCTATTCCTGGCCCTCCAAGAAAAGCTTTCCTGCTCTGTGAGTGGCACTGGCTTGCAGGGACTGTGTTAATCTTCTCTTTTTCTTCTCTTACTGTTTTTCCCTTCCAGCTTTGACGTGGCCAGCGTGATGTCTGTTACCCTGAGCTGTGACCATCGTGTTGTGGATGGAGCAGTGGGAGCACAGTGGCTTGCAGAGTTCAAGAGTTTCCTTGAGAAGCCAGTAACCATGCTGCTATAATTTACCCATGCAAGCAGAATTTTCCTGGGTCACACTGTTGTGTTTTAAACAAGCTATTTAGACTGTAGTGTTCCGACTTTAAGAGAGTTCCTTTTTTAATTTAAAATATGTATTATATTATCTGGTAATGTTATTACCAGTCTGTACAGAAAAAAAGTTTGCAAAAGTGCTTTTCGGAGCAATATTACAGCTACACTGTATTTTTATACAGTTAGTTAACTTGCAAACTCTTCCAAAAACAGAGTTAAGCATCCCAGATTTAAAGCTGACCCTGGCAGAATGCCCACTGCCAGCTGCTCCTCAAAAAAGGGGTGCAAACCAGCAATGTCGTGTTCTCAGAAATATGAATTACAGTCATCTCTTCACAGGAGTGCAGATGAGATTGGTCACTGAAACAAGTCAGCAGAAGGTGAATTCCCATGTTATCCCATCCCTGGGGTGGGTGAGATGGCAAACGCACTGAGGGACTGAAGTGCCTGGGGATAGTTTCTCAAAGGCCAAGTGCCAGTGTTCCAAATCTTTCTTGGAATTTGGCTCTGGCCTGGATCCTCTCAGCTACGTGATCCCTTTTGAGCACTTTAAGGTGAAGGAGCACTGCTGGCTGTGGGGTCACAGCTCTCGGGTCCCGCAGGGGACGTGCTGTCTGCTCCTGGACTTTCACTCACATGTGCTTTCTGTCTGAAAGCTCTTCAGTTGCTGTTCCTCCTGCTGAGTTAACCCCACCACACCCCGATGCCATGGAAGTAACTGTTTTGCAGAATGTTCAGGAGAGTCCGTGTGTTGGAAGCCAATGTAGACAAATCACACATGCTGATAATCCCACCAGTGGATATTAAATCATGTGAGGACTCGGATGTTTGGAATTTTTTATTTCAGGCATTCTAACATAGGAAGCTCTGACTTAGTCATTGGAATTGGAGACCTTCCCTGACTTGTCTATGTTGTGCCAGCCTCAGCAAGCTGCAGAATGTGCTCTCCATGTATATATTGTATGTAAGGTGCTTCACTAGTTCGTTGGACTTATGTCCAGTTACCCCAGTGATTGCATCCTGCAAGGGGTGCAGTGCTGAACATTCTTAAATTCCACTTTCCACATGGAAACGTTCATGTAAAAAGGACAACTGTGCAGTAATGACAAAAGTGACCAGGAGAATTAAGTAGGGGGGAAGAGTTTTAACAGAAAGAGTTCAAGCTGATCCGTTATTCTGTATATTGCATTAAGTACTGTCTCCTGTAAAGTTCTACAGAATTCACGAAAGATATTGAAAGAAAATACTATGGAAATTAAATATTTTTGTGGGAACTACTTAAGTGTCTGGTTGCTGTGATACCTGGTTTTCATGCCTTGCTTAAGCAAAAGAAAAAAAAAGTGCATTAAGGTTTTGGATTTTAATGATCTAAAATACCCTGATCCCGGACTCGCTCTAGTGAACCCATGTTCCATTAAATGTTTGGAATTGACAACTACTAAACCCTGTTCCAGTGCTTTTCTCTTCAGTCGTGTGTGGCTTTACTGTACTGCTCTGCAGCCTTTCAGTCTGGCAGTGGAACTCACCCTATTAACCCCAAATTTCATCCCTGACATTCCAAAATTCCTGCTTTCTTGCTGTCTGCAGCAGCGACCTGGAACCTCCCTCTCTGCAGTGCTCACCTGGGCAACCTGCAGGGCTGTGTGTGTCACACCTGGGCGGGTTGTCCCAGCATTGAATACTCGTGAGAGCTGCTCTAACCATGTGAATCCAGACCATTTTATTTAAAAAACACACATCACAACTGTTATTGCTGCTCCTTGAGGCAACGTGAATGATGTAGTAAAGCATCTACAGCTTTCGACTGTAGATACACAAGTGCAATAACTGTAAATATTCAAGTACTCCTTGAGTATTTACAATCTCTAATTATTTTCTCTGAAGTTTGGTGGTGTGAGTATTCCTCCATCCTTCCTTTTCTACTTGCATCTTTCAAGGGTATTTGAGATATTCACCCCTAAAGATCAAAAAGTCAATAAACCCACCCCCCCAAAACTCATCATCTAAAAGTAAGGATTCTCACTCTGGGCTTTTTTTCTCTAATCTGTGACCAGGACCTGGGCAGGATGCAGGGGTTAAGGATTTGGCAACTGGTGCAGAGATAAACAACACCCTTTTTGCTTTGTTAAGTACTGCTGTAGTTGTTTCTTCATCCACCAGTTCTGGCAAATCTCGCTGTAATCTGCTGTATTTTTCAGGAACCTCAGTGATGATGTCGTTCTAAACCAAGAAAATTCCAACCTCAATGACTGTGAATTTTTTTGAGGTTTGGGGGGTAATTTTTTCCCCAAAAGAAGGACCTGAGGACCCAGGATGGGGGTGACCTC